CTCTCTCTCTCTCTCTCTCTCTCTCTCTCTCTCTCTCTCTCTCTGTGTGTGTGTGTGTGTGTGTGTGTGTGTGTGTGTGTGTGTTCTCTTTTGGCCCCAGAGAGTTAAATTTAGTTCACCTCACTGGCCTCAAAGAATTAAGATTCACTACTTCAGATAAGTTGTATTTGCGTAAGTGTTGTAAGTAATTTGTGACACATTCAAAAACCGTTATGGATTCTAAAACCTTTAATCAGATTGTAAGTTTTCTACATTTTGTTAAGTTTTTAGTGTTTCATATAATTTTTTGGTGAAGTTAGTGTAGAAGATATATGTTGAACACACTCTCTAGAACTATCCATATAATGAGAGGATTTAATGCAAAAGCAGGTCCAAGTCAGTATCCCCCTCCAAGAAGACTACTACCTGAGACTGCTTCCCTACAGAGATCTTTTACTGAGACTAGCTGATCCCTCCCCCTTGTGCTGAATACAATAAACCTGGTGAGTTTCTTGGTTCCCTAGTAGGTACTGCTCCATCAAAGCAAGTAGAGCCCACTCAATCCCAACTGTTTTGTATGTGTCTGCCATTTATTCACATGTATGTCACCCCTGTAGGTTTCAAAGACCAATCTGCATTGATAGATAAACATTATACTAAAGTAAAATTGGAATAGATGAAGTCTTGTGATGCATATTCAGTAGGTGCAGTTCTTGCATGAAAGCTTGAGGAATGCAGTTTGATCTCTAGCACCCATGTAAAAGCGAGGAGTTGTCACAGTTTCTGTAATGACAGAATTGGGGAGGAGTAGATAAGATTCTTGGGGCTTTCTGACCAGCCAGTCTAGCTGCATCCAGTGAGCTCCAGAGTCAATGAAAGATCCTGTCTCAAAAAAAAAAATAAATAAATAAAGTAGAGAAAAATTGAGGAAGATACCTATCATTGACTTTAGGCTTCCACACACATATGGACACATATTAATACACACTAGCAAACACATATGTTTACACACACATCAATACAATGCACACACAAAGAGCTATTTGCACACATATCAACACAATGCAGAGACAGAGAGAGAGAGAGAGAGAGAGAGAGAGAGAGAGAGAGAGAGAGAGAGATGTAGAAGTAACTGTCTTATTAAATAAGAAACACAGAGCCAATGCAGAGATGAAAGCCCAAGAGGTCAGAGCTAAGAGCCTTACCCTTCCTGCTTCAGCAATCCTCTTCAGCAAGAGACCTACTTCCTGTGTGTTTGTCTTTATATAGACTTTCTGTTCTGCCTTCTCATTGGTTGTAAACCCAACCACATGACCGCCTCATCACTGCCTGTCTGTACAGACCTCCAGGTCTTCTATGGTTGGTATTGAGATTAAAGGCTTGTGTCTCCAATGCTGGCTGTATCCTTGACCACACAGAGGTCTACCTAGCTCTGCCTACCAGTGCTGGGATTAAAGGCATGCACCACGAATGCCCAGCTCTCCTATGGCTTACTATTAGCTCTGACTCGCAGGCAACTTTATTTTTTAACATACAAATAAAATCACATTTCAGTACAAATAAAATATCATGAGATAGATAGATAGATGATAGATAGATAGATAGATAGATAGATAGATAGATAGATAGATAGATATCACAAAACGTGATACAGAAAGATGGAAAGATGAGATACATAGACACAATCTGAAAACAATTACTTAATATGGAATTGTACACAGAGCAGTTGCCTTCTTTATATTTGCATGGCACAACTCACTAATATAAGTCTTTAAATGAAAACATTCTCAAAGCTATGTGACTTTTCTGGGGGTTCTATGCATAGTGCAGTCTCTATAATTCCATATCTTGCTAGACTCCTACTGGGTACCAACACTTCCTCTGAAAACCAAGTATATATGGTTACTTCACTGAACCACTGGGTCAGAATTTCAAAGTTTTTAATTCACTGATGACTGACATTCTATTCTGATCCTTTATCATGTCATGCAGTAGTCTCTGGTGGTTCATTTTGTCATTTGCTAATATGTTCCCATTCCAGATAATATATGTAAATATACCAGTAATAAAACCAATACCCAGAAACCATATAAGGGCAATATTATCTATAGCAATTCTTGTTATTTATAAAGTCTTTATTTATTGTTTGTTGAATGCTTTGAACAGCTAGAACAGACACACATGTGCAAAACATAGTACCCAGTCATCCACCCGAGATAAATGGTTCTCATTTAAGACAAATACATGTATCCCTTCCTCTCATCTCTCATAATCACATTAAGCTACATGGAGTTTGAAATTATAAAAACAGATGGACAAATCTAGATATTCCATGGAGCAGATGAGCTCTCAGATATTAGATACAACTGACTAAGTGGCAGATTAAATGGGAGCTAACAAAGCAGTTTACACAGAAAAATTGTTTGAAACACCGCATCTGGTTAGAAGCTTTTAAATAAAACTAAACTAAGTATAAGAGAGAAATTGATATAGTCTTCTAAAATGCATAGAAAAGTATAACTTGACATTGATTTAGAGCATCTACCAAGGCAGAATAAGGCAGAGACTGGACAGAACTGTTTCTCAGTATACTTTCTAGGGTTTTCTCTATGTTTTGTTGAAGATCAATCTGAGAAAAGAAAACTATCTACATAAATCAAAAATTAATAAAATGCAAAGGAGACTTAGAAGAAATTGCAAACTTACCTTACATGAGTATAATTTTGGTCAAAGAACCAGTAAAAGCACTACCTAAAATTAAGTCTGAAATATAATCTTACAGGAAAATATGAGAAGCCTCACGGGAAAATTCCATTTTTGTTTCTGTAAACACTCTTGCTTTAAGAGCCCCAAGGATGCTGACAAGAACAGAATGTTTTATAGAACAGAATTTGGTTTTATGAAAGCAATGCTTCTGCCAATGAGAATGTACTGAAATTGTAGGCAAACTTTCTTGACTTGAGCAGGCTGCAGACTTCAAGTTTAAAAGTATAATCTGTCAGAGTTGAGCATAAATGATTTCCATGAGAGAAGCAGATCATCATTGATCGAGTATATTGTAGCCAATGGTAAGACTACCTTCATTTTAGGATAGAAATCAGCACTGACAAACATAAGCAAATGTGTGCACACACCACTGTCACCTACAGCCACAACCATACTTGACAAAGAGTAAAATGACTGAGTTACAGTCTCATCAGTCAAATCCTCATAATGCTGGAACATAAGTTTTAATATCTGTGACAATTGCTTAGATGATTTTTCCTTCTAAACCTTGTCCAAATTATATGTGGTAGCAATTGGAATGGGTCAGTAGTCACCTTTTCAATGTACATTTCTATTATGCCAAACTCTCAAAAAGGAATCTGGACTCAAGACATTCTAGTATATGCAGCGTGAGGTCACCTAATATAGAGTACAAATATCTTTATATTTGTTCCTTCTTAAGAAATAAAGGGAGATGCTGTGTAGATGTGTAAGGAAACCAAACACACCTTCAAGATGCTTGTGGCTCTACTGATCATTCTACAATTTTGGAAAAAAATAATCATGAAAATATTACCTTAAAGCCACTGATAGAAAATAGAGGCAGATGGATGCGCTAGGATTCTTTGCAGGGATGCTTCACTCTCTGATGGCTTGTCTTGCTTCCATTGCAGAGAGTATATAAGCATCATTACATGAAGATGACACACTGTCTAAGCTATGTAGAAAAAGTAGGCATATAAAGATTGTCACTGTAAATTTTCCAGCCTCAAATGGATCAGTCTCAGTTTAATGTTTCACCATGCATTGCCTGAGCCATGCAACTATGCTTTCCAACAGAACAGACTAGTTAATGAAATGACTGATAGCTGAAGTGACTAGTTAATATTTGAAAACATATTGAACATTCTTAACTATCATGGAAATTAAAATTAAAACTGCTTTGAGATTCCATCTTGCCCAAATCAGAATGGTATAATGAAGATAAGACATCAGTACACAAAATCACAACCAATCAAATTGCTAAGTTGTGGAGCCTAGTCCTAATGTATACATCTACAATACAATTCTTGTACCTAAGGTTCAAGGATCATTGTGAAAGATGGGGAGAAAAGATTGTAAGAGCCAGAGGATCAGGGAGTTTGCTGTGATAGTGTCTCCTAATAATGTCAGAAATACACCCATCAAAATATCACCAACATGATTGTCTAAACATGAGCTGAACAATGAAAATAGTCATGCAAAATTGTATGGGGGAAAGCCCACAAGGCCTCAACCCTACACAAAGAGCTATAGGCAAATAAGGCCTGCTAACACCTATAGAAACAATCTTTCCAAGGCTCAGCCAAAGAGGATAATTGGTTATCCAATACCAAATGGTTTACCCTGAATATATAATATATAATACAAATGTACAAATGACATTATGTAGACTGTGCATATTGAACTTAAGTAATTAAGTATATATATATATATATATATATATATATATCAATGTAAAAGGAGGCCATGAATTTCAACAAGAGCAAGGATGGGTATCTATGAGGGTTTTGAAGAGATTCTCAACTTTCCTAATACTGCAAAACTTTAATACAGTTCCTCATAAAATTCCTTTCGTTACTACTTCATAAGTATAATTTTACAACTGTTATAAATCAGAATGTAAATATTTTTGGAGGTAAAGGTTTACCAAAGGGGTCACAACCCACAGGTTGAACAGCTGGTTTAGAGGAAGGAAAAGGAAAGGAGAAATGAAGTAATTATACTATAATCTAAAAATAAATAATTCAAAAAATAATTCACCATAAATTCTGGCAATGAGTTGGGTAAAAAAAAGAGCATATATACACTGTTGGGGTGGATGTAAACTTGAACACCCAATATGGAAATCTATATAGAATTTCCCAGAATTAAAAAACTTGAAGTACCATTATGACCCACTCATGAGTATATGACCGTAATAAAAAGTCAACAAACAAACACGTGGCACATTACTTGTATACCCATATATATTGCTGCATTATCTATAAGGAATAAGAAATGGAATCAGATAAGAGGAAAATCAACACACAAATGGATAAAGAAAATGTAATATGCATACATGATGAAAAAATAAAATCATTACATTTGTAGACTTGAACATTGTGTTAAGCAAAATAGACTAGATTCAGAAAGACAATAATGTTTGCTTTCTCCCATAGATGAGTGGAGATTTAATTTAGTCTCTTTCTCTCTCTCTCTCTCTCTCTCTCTCTCTCTCTCTCTCTCTCT